ATATATATATATATATATAAATATATAATGAGCTAAGTGATAATATAGTTACATTTTGCAACAAAATAAAAAATCAGACAGTTGAGATTTGCTATATGCTTGAATATACTGTACAGTATGTGGATACATATCCAACAATAATACATATCCAACATATCCAGTATAAATAAGCACATAACCAAGGTATATTATATAGTAGCTGCCCTTTATTTGTTCTTTATTTTTTGAAGCATCTGTTTACATCCCAAGAAACCTAAAGTTCCTGTTAATCAGGGTGGATCTACACCTTTAATCAGTCAGTTCAATTTCATCTTCAGTTCATCCACTATTACTTTCATTCACATATGATCCAAATTGCCTTGAAACATGCAATGACTGCTGCAGTGTACACCCGTGCTCGTAAGTGTGTGATTTGCATATTTGACAAACACAATCAGAGCTGGTAGATTTCTGTCACTCAACTCCATCATACAGAGAGAACGAAAGAGAGATGCAGTTAAAAATCTGAGAAGTCTGATCGTGAGAGAAAGACAAAAAACCTACCAACACATTGTTTTCTTTAGCTTAATGTTATGCATTAAGTATTCTTTTAGGAGACGATGAACAGCAAAATACAGTGTTGTGGAAGAAAAACATTTGAAATCATCAAGCAATATGCAGTAGTGGCATGTAATGGCACCATTACCCAGTGCGCTTTGCAGCTGAATTATAACTACGTGAAATGCAAAAATTATATACTGTATTATATATAGTTAACCTTAAATGAAAATTCTTTCATCAATTATCATCATCAGCTTTTCCAATCCTATATGGGTTTCTTTCTTCTGCTGAACACAAAAGAAGATATTTTGACGAATTTGGGTAGGGCCCATCATCTGTTTGGTTATCCACATTTTTCAAATATCTTTTTTTTTATGTTAAACAGAAGAAAGAAACTCGTACAGGTTTGGAAAAAACTTGAGGGTGAATAAATGATGACAGAATGTTCATTTTTGGGTGAACTATCCCTTTAAGTGTACTACTGGAATTAGTTATGAGTGATAACATATACTACACTAATAATTGCAATATTCTGCATTTTATTTATTATTTAATTTCCCCAAATCTGTACACTTTAACTGATATGAATAAATAAATAAATTCCTAAATACAAAATCCTTATTTTATATTAAAAATTATTTTATTTAAAAAAAAATTATATACATATTTGTAAAATAATAATAATAATAATAATAATACAAATGACAACAGAAAATGACCAAAAAAATACAATTAAAAGAAAACAGAAATTATAAAAATAAAAGCTAATTCAAAGTATAGTAGATTATAGTAGATATAGTAGAACATTTATTTTGGATGACACTTACACCAATGTGAGACAGTGAGAGAAACATTGATGCATTGCAGTTGATATTTTTAGCTACGCAAGTCTGTTTAATTACTTGGGAAACTAGTGAGCATTACATTTAGTTGGCAGGTGGACCGAACAGCATTAGCAGTGTTTTCTTGTAACAACTACAGTGATGGAATGTCGTTCCAAATGCCTGGATTTCTATTTATAAAGAGATGATTGCTTTGCATAGTATATTATTATTAGTGCACCATGTTGCTCGACACACTTGCAATAGTTGTTTATACATAGTCATTTGTGCCTGGACTGGTATAAACATGCATGTGTTTAGTACA